GATCTATCAATATTTTCGATATTAACAGATCTATTAATAGTTTAAAATTATTTTTGATACTTGAGAAAAATAATATATTTAGTTTAATTTTAATTTTCGTCAAAACTATGAAAAATGGAAATAAATACTTAGAAAAATAATACAAAGTCTAATTTTTTTTAAAAAAATGACACGACTTTTTATTTAGCAACTTCGTTTTTTTTCAAAAATGTTTATTATTTTCTATTTGAAAAGTATGTTTTTTTTCTCAGAAAATCTTTGTGACTTTTTCTCTATGTATACCTTTTTTTTGATAGCGCATTTCAAAATTCTCGAAGTAACTTTATTATAGCCAATGGCTGTTATTTTTCTTTTCTGAAAGGTTTAATCGATTTCCTTGATAATTAGAGTGCTATTTTTTTTGAGACATTGAACTTTTCTCTCCTTAAAAGATAAGAATTTAAAAAAAAAAGTTCTATCAGGTTTGGGTTGATAAATGAACTAGTTTTTATTCTTGTCTGTTAAATACCTTTCTGGAGCGTTATGGTTTAGGGCTAAAAATTTTATGCTATTTAAATACACTTGATCCAAGGTGACTTTTTGAGGGCATCTGAAGGAAACAATATCTGTCTGACTTGAAATGTATAGAGAAGAACAGTGAATGATAGATCTATGTTTATTTTTTTGCGTTGATTTCTTCAGAAAAAAATGTGTTCTGATAGGTTGAGAATGTTAGATGATATGCTTCTAAAAAATGAATTTTTATCAAGTAAGAATGTGTTTTGTAAACGTGTTTTGAATTGATAAAAAGTTATTTGTTTTTATAAACAGTATTACAAAATATAGTTAAAAAAAACAAGAAATGATCTTTCTCTTCATGTCACATTTCAAAGAATGCCGAAAAAAGTCTCAAAAACCTGTTCTCTCATAAGACTTTTATAAATATAATGAAACATTTTAACATTAAAATTGTTCAAAAGGATCAATATTTTTAGTATACGAAATAATGTGTTGTTTTTTTAGTGTAGAAAATTGATTTACTTTTATATCTTGTTTAATATATGGTTCAGCACAATCAGATACATCACCTTGTTGTAATACTTTTTCGACCTAAATTTTGAAAATAAAATCAAGATGTTTATTTAATAAGTAAATGATTTATTTTATTACTCGAATAATAAGATAAATATCAGGTGATGGAAATGATATTGGAAATATAGCCGATAGACTTAATGTTGAACCATCAACTGCTGGTCGAATATGAATCATTTGTTTTAATGCATCACTATTTAAATCATAATGAAAATTTTCTGATATCTAAAAATTAATAAAAATATTCTAAAATTTTAAAATAAAATATAATTAAAAATAAAACCTTTTTTCGTTCTTTAAAATCATATAATGCTAATGTTATAAACATTGGTTCAATTTCTGGTTCAAATCTAAAATTAACAAAATTAAACTTAAATTCTTTTGAATTTTGGTTTTTTTTTTTTACTTGAAATCTAAACATTTCACTTGAAGTTTAAATGTTGTATATGGTTGAAGTGGTTCAGCTGATGGACGATATTCAATACAATCAATCTAAGAAGAAACAATTTAATTTCTAAATGATTTAAACGTATATCTAATGAAGCAGAAATCATCATTCGATGATACTCTAAACTTTAATAGAAGATTAAAAGTTTGTATAATTATATTTCATGAAAAAAATGATTTATGAACTTTTTTTATGTTACCATATCGAAAGGAGAAAATATAGGTATTGTGAATTTTTTGACCAAAGATAAGTTAGTTTATTGTTTAACTTACATCTGCTTGAGGTGGATAAGAACTAAATAATTTTGAATAACGACTTTTGCCTCGTAATAATTCATTTTCTTTATCAACACTTTCAATTGGAATACGTTCAACTGAAAGAAAAAAAAAAAAAACAAATGAGAAAAAAAAAAAGAATAACTTTTAAAAAGATTCTTACTTAAATGAGGCATTATTGTATCTGGTTCTGTTTTATCTAAATCATCTTTTGCTAAAGCCCAACTACTTTTTACTGGATTTATTGTTGAATCATTGATAGCTAATTTTCTTGGACTATCCTAAAGTAAAATCAATTTGTATATTTTTTGTTCTCATAAGAAAAGTAATATAAATAAATTTTTTGTACTCTTTCTTGATCAATTAAAATTTGTCGATTATCATCAATTAAATCAACTTCATAATCTTGTTTTGATATTTGTTTTAGAGCTTGCATTTGTTCTTGACGAACATTTAATAATGTTATTGCACTACCATGATGATTATAACTTAAAATAGAAAAACAAAAAAAAACAAATCTCTTTACAAAATGAATATCAAAAAAAAAAGATTTTAAACACACTTTCGACGTAGAAAAAAATGTTCACCATTGAAACTTTGTAAACAATCACGAATATGTGGATCATTCAAAGCTCTAAACAAAAAATTAGATTTTCTTTTTCTTTTTGAAAAAAAATATTCGAACTCTTTTTCTGGCATAATTGGAATAATAGTACGATATTGTCGATCAATACGAATAAAATCAATATCATCATTTGGATATTCAAGTAAATGATGTAAAGGATCATTTTCAATTTTTTGTCGATGTTCATCAAGATATTCTTCATAATCAATTGGATCAACAACATCAATCATATTAGTCGTCATTTTATTTGAATTCGTTGTATAATTCTTTAATAAAAAATAAGAAAAGAAAGTTATTAAGAGAAACAAAAAAAAAAATTAATAATTTTTTTTTTTTTTTTACTAAATCTGTAAATGTTATTTCTTCTTCGTCTTCTTTATTTTCATTTAATGGAAGAGATGAAGTCTTTGGTTCATTCGAAAGAAGTGAAATTACGTCTTGAAGATGTTCTCTAGAAAACAAATTATAAAAATTAAATAATACATAAGAATTCCAAAACAAACCGAAGACGAAGTGTACCAGCCATTGCATTGCTATTGCTTTTCTTCAGATAAAAAAGAAATCAATCAAATAGTTCAAATCTAGATGATGATCAATATATGATTAGACATGAACGAACGAGTAACAATCATTGTGTCGAAAGTGAAGATTGGATATGTGCGCCCTCTTACATTGCAATTCTATCATTCGGTATTATTTTGATATTATTAAAAAAATTTATTTGAAATTAATTTAAAATAAATAAACAGTTTATT